GTCTAATCTCGGTGTTGTTTTTCATTTTCTACCACATCTTCCCACAAGTGCAACTAATGTGACAGTTTATTGTGGCAATGTTTCGCTCTCCAGGAGCTTTGTCAAGCCATTGTAACAGCTTGACAAAGCTCTTGGAGAGCAAAACATTGTTACAATAAAATGTCACATTAGTTGCACTTGTGTCCTTTTACTTTACATATTGTCGGTAATTCTACCAACATATACACATCTTCCCACCCTTTTTTATTTCAAATCTTGCTTGTAATTCAGTTTCTTCTTAATTTTACTGACTGAGTTTAAACACCAAGTCTTATTGCTGTTTCCTTCTGTTTTAGTGTGGTATCACTCGATAAAACACTTATCTGCCCACTTTGTGAGGACTCAGATTGCTATTTTTACCCATTTCTGCTGACTTACTTTCTAACCATTAAACTGCAAGAAAAAAGCAAAAGGCACTTTCAGTAGCAAGTATGGGCACAGAAAATACACGCTAATGGAAATATCACAATCAAAAAGGAGCAGAAAACATCCTCTGTGCACCAAACCAAAACAGCAACTGAGATGTCTCTGGATAAACACCACATGACCCATCTAATTCAGTGTTGCCATCCATTGTATCTTCAGAGTTGCCAGACAAAAGCTCACAATACTCTTAAACTCTTTTAAAGTTAATTTTAAATAGTTGCCCTGTACTAATGTATCAAAACAAATCCATCAGCAATCATTGAAATTGGCTTAACCCTTTGAGGGTCGACAGGCCCTCTCCGAGACTCATTCTCAGGGTCGGCCAAATTTAAAAAAAAAAAAAAAATTTCTTGTGAAAAGATAGAGAATCTTTTCCCGGTCATAATGACACCAAAAGTATGAAATTTGATGGAAAACTTACGGAATTATGCTTTCGTGAAGTTAGCGGTCTCGAGCGTTGTTTATGCATCAGCGATTTTGCCCACTTTGAGCCCCATTTTCGGCCAACTCCACTGTACTAGTACACAAAAAACATGAATATTTCGCTAGAACTCCATTTTTTTCTATAGAATGAGTGCAAGACACCACCCATTTACCAATCTCAACTATCCAGTACAGTGGTGAGAATTTAGCAATTTTGCCAATTTCACACAAATTTCAAAAGATGCCAATTTCCAAATAGGGTCCAGAATAAACAAGAAAGACATTCCTGGCACTAAAATGACATTTCCTCTGTTCATTAGTCATGTCTCAAGGCCCCTCTTACATTCTTTTGCTTTCCACTCTGAATTGTTATTCTCACAAAAAATAGAAGATTTACTGTTATGCAGACTACTGCACTAGTGTAAAAAATGGTATAAATAATATTGGCGCACTTGCAAAAGAATATTAGACTCACCAGTTGACGTGTATTGGACGCTTGGCATGATTTGTTTACTTTTGAACTTTGGTAAAAATCGAACATTTCTGCTACTTTGAGCTCAATTTCAAGGTACTTTTCATTGTAAAACCAGTCAAAATGATCTCAATTTCTGTAATATGTCTTCCATTCTATAAAATGAGACCAAGAAAACTAGAATACAATAATAAATACCATACGAAAATACAATGCAAAGTCGTTGTTTTATTCCAAAAAAACGGTCAAAGTTTTTTTTTCTCATTATGCACTGTGTGCTGCAGGATTTTTTTTATACTGTGCACGCTGACCACATAGACCCATTCTTTCATATGTAAGCCTACCAGCTTTCTCCCACTAGATTTGAGGGCGCTAGAATTTAGGCGTACTAGTACGTCAAAAACCCTGGGTCATAAGCCGTACTAGTATGGCTGAAACCCTCAAAGGGTTAATTGACCTTATAGTAGAAAAATATTGAATTTTCAAAAAATCCGTAATGATAATAATGCCAGTACTGTAGCTAAACTCTTGATGTTGTAGACCACTATACCACCATGCCACAAGATGTGGTGTAGTGATCTAGGGCATTGAGAGTTAAGCTAACTTCCTTGGAGGCTGCCTAGACGACTCTGGTTCAAATCCTGGCCAGTTGCAATATGTTCTTTAGCTTTAAAATTACAGTGGACCCCCGCATAACGATCACCTCCGAATGCGACCAATTATGTAAGTGTATTTATGTAAGTGCGTTTGTACGTGTATGTTTGGGGGTCTGAAATGGACTAATCTACTTCACAATATTCCTTATGGGAACAAATTCGGTCAGTACTGGCACCTGAACATATTTCTGGAGTGAAAAAATATCGTTAACCGGGGGTCCACTGTACTTGTTTCTGTTAATGTACTCGGCTAGATGTATATTTAAGCTTTATTATTTGATAGAAATATATACAGAAAACAATAAGAACGTGTTTCCATAGTGTTTTAACATACCAAAATATTATACCATTTTTTTTTTAATATGAAAATGCATAAGTACAGTAGGGCCTCGCTTTATGGCGTTTTGCCTTAGTGTTCTGTTAATATGGCGATTTCAAATTATGACCAAAGTTTGCTATACGGTGAGCAGTCTTTCAAATATGGCGTGCCCCACTCTGTTTTTTACATTCTCCTTGAGCACATATCTCTATTATGTCTGGAAATTTTCCAAAATTTCAAGTGTTTTAGTTATTGTGTATTTTATATATACTCTGATAATTATACTTGTGTGTACCTGTACCTAAATATACTTACACTGTGCTGGTGTGCAGGGGTGCACATTAAAATCACTAAGAGTCTCTCTACCTTGACACCATGATAATGTCTTGGGCACATTAAATGTTGTATATTACATTTATATAGACATTTCCATTAATCCAATTAAGCCATCTATGATATTTTTTTCAAAATTATATAATAAACATGTTACATACACTCATAGTATAAAAACTGACATAAATATGAGATTTGCTTACCAAGCGACTGATGGGAGGGTCAGAAGAATTTGTTTTCTCTAGTCACACACCAATAACTTAACTAGAAATTTATTCCTTTCGTATGCCTTCACTCTGTCTATAGTTATTCATGACCCTTGTGGGTTTAGCGCTTCTTTTTTATTATGATTATAATTGTAATAATAATTATTTGTAATAATAATAATTTGTCAGAGCATCATTCCTTCTAAAAATTACATTAGAATTAAATTGTTGGTCTTTATTTATTCTACTGTACCACTGTGGAGACAACTTGTACACAATGTAAGGTGTTTGTATGAACTTGTATCAACCATAATGAGATGGTTTGTTTACATAAGCATACTCTGTGGCTGTCATCTTACTCATTCTCTCTCTCAATTTGTTTTTATCTCGCTTACTCACCTCCCACCCTACATTAAGACTACAAATATTTTAAGGTAAGTAATGAGTGTACTGCATATGCATTTTATTGCTGTAGGGCACTTTAAATGTAGTAGGTGGGGGTGGCCAGGCAGGATGCCATACTTCCCACACTACTTTCTACAAATAAATACTTTTTACCTCTCACCCTACATTAAGACCATTAAGACTACAAATATTTTAAGGTAATTAATGAGTGTACTTTATATTCATTTTATCAGTCTAGGGTGCTTTACGTGTCGTAGTATATTATGTGTGAATGGGGTGGCCAGGAGGGCTACCACACCTGACTTCTTACAGTAAATACTATGCACCTTTTGCCCTACATTAAGACTACAAATATTTTGAGGTAAATAATGAGTGTACTGTGTGTGTATTTTATTTTTTATTGTTTTTTAATGCCTAGTTCTATTGCTAACTTAATATATGTTAGTGTAAACTTGTTATCTGGCATTTATATGCATTTATAAGTGGAAAAAGTGCGATTCTGCTTTCTGGCAGTAGCCTGGAACCTAACCTGCCATATGTGTACTTGACATGGTAAAAAAAAAAAAAATTACCCTGAATTGATCAGTGAGGTAGTGTTGTGTTTTATCTCTTGTCAGGAATGCATTTATCATCGTTTTTTTCCTTAGCTGTAGAGTCAATCACTTTCACTGCCAAATGAGGATCAGCCTAGGCATAGTCCTGTCTTCACCGGGAACTTGATCTATAGACACTTCTTAGTTGGACTGAAATAACAAGAAGATACAACATGAGCATGACAAATGAACAAATATGTGCATATTTTCAGTATATAACAAGTTATGCAGCACAAGTTTGTACCCAGGATGAAATGCTGTTCCCAGGCAGAGAGCCATTTGTGACTCCTTTGTGTATCATATTGTCACTTATGTGTCATTGTTACTTATTAATGTCACACACACTACATTGTCATAGCAGAACTACGTTCAAATGTTCATCTAAATTTTTTAAATAAATTCGGAAACTTACCAGCATTTGGGAGTGATGAAAATTGTGGAAACATGAGAGCTCTTTCATCAGAAATCCATCTTCGTCGAGCACTCAAATGAAATTGTTTTCATTTGGCTACCCCAGCCAAATGAAAACAACAAGTGATATGGTAGAACCTTGTGATAGTGAATCTCATCCCCTACAACGTCTTTGAGATCTTCCACCTCACCTTCGACTCTGTTCTCGAACTTCAGTTATTGTTCCAGACAATAACTGAGGGACTGACCACCTCAAATACTTTTTCTCCAAGGTTGGCAGACTGATTACATCGTCTTTCCTTACTGCTGCTCCCTCCATATTTGACTGAAGAAGCCTACTGTGTAGGCAAAATGTTTCGTCAATAAAGATACCCAACCGTTGACATGTATCTGGCATAAACGAAAAATCTCGAAGTGTATTGTTTGGTTCCATGGCGTCATAAATCCCATGATTTTAGAATGGTAAAAGTACTGCATTGCCTAGTAAAGGGTTGACAGTCATCTGTATTCAACTTGTCTACAGAATTTACCCAATTGGCCAACTTTCTTTTGCTTTATGAAATGCAAGTGGCAAGAATCTGATCATTCATGCAGCCACTAATGAAATTGGTTTTGAGATAGGTCATGAAAGTAGAAACACATGAATTGATTTTAATTATATTTCACATATAATGGTAATTTTAAATGAATCTCAGGATAGAGTAAAAACCTGCCCACTTACTGGTTGAGTTTTTATTTGCTAAACTTGTTAGGTAAGAACTGCATATCATGAAAGGAATATTCAGTTTTTTTTAAGTTTATTACCTATGCACTTTATGTTAATTGATTGTAACATTTCAATTTTATTTTTTATCTTTGTGTTCTTGTAGAAGACTGATTTTTATGGAGTTGAATATTTTCAGTGCTGCTGACCTGAGCATCTGTTTGGGCACAACTCTGCAGATTGTTCCCAGTGGTAATATTCCTGTTGATACAAAGAAAAGAGGAGGTAAACTGGTTATAATTAACCTTCAACCTACAAAACAGGTAATTTTAGGTAAAAAAATAATATACAGTGGACCCTCGCCTAACGAACGCATCGCATAACGTTAAATCTGGCTAGCGATACATTTTAACGCAAAAATTTTGCCTCGGCTAGCACTAAAAAAACTCGCCCAACGCGATTCATTCCGTTCAAGACGCGTCCACTTGCGGCCTGAGCGCGCCTCACTTGTCCCGTGGGTGCCAGTGTTTACAAGCCAGCAACCGTGGTCGCATCCAAACCTACAATCGGAACATTTCATATTATCACAGCGTTTTTAGTGATTGCACCTGCAAAATAAGTCACCATGGGCCCCAAGAAAGCTTCTAGTGCCAACCCTACAGCAGAAAGGGTGAGAATTACTATGGATATGAAGAAAGAGATCATTGCTAAGTATGAAAGTGGAGTGCGTGTCTCTGAGCTGGCCAGGTTGTACACAAAACCCCAGTCAACCATCGCTACTATTGTGGCCAAGAAAACGGCAATCAAGGAAGCTGTTCTTGCCAAAGGTGCAACTTTGTTTTTGAAACAGAGATCGCAAGTGATAGAAGATGTTGAGAGACTGTTATTGGTGTGGATAAACGAAAAACAGATAGCAGGAGATAGCATCTCTCAAGCAATCATATGTGAAAAGGCTAGGAAGTTGCATGACGATTTAATTAGAAAAATGCCTGCAACTAGTGGTGATGTGAGTGAATTTAAGGCCAGCAAAGGTTGGTTTGAGAGATTTAAGAATCGTAGTGGCATACATAGTGTGATAGGGCATGGTGAGGCTGCCAGTTCGGACCAAAAAGCAGCTGAAAAATATGTGAAGGAATTCAAGGAGTATATAGACAGTGAAGAATTGAAGCCTGAACAAGTGTTTAATTGTGACAAAACAGGCCTGTTTTGGAAGAAAATGCCAAGCAGGGCCCACATGACTCGGGAGGAAAAGGCACTCCCAGGACATAAGCCTATGAAAGACAGGCTTACTCTGTTGATGTGTGCTAATGCTAGTGGTGATTGCAAAGTTAAGCCTTTATTGGTGTATCACTCTGAAACTCCCAGAGTGTTCAGGAAAAACAATGTCCTCAAGGCTAATTTGTGTGTGATGTGGAGGGCAAACAGTAAGGCATGGGTCACTAGAGACCTTTTCTATGACTGGTTACACCATGCATTTGCCCCCACTGTGAAAAATTACCTCCTGGAAAATAAATTGGACCTTAAGTGCCTCCTGGTATTAGACAATGCTCCTGGTCATCCTTCAGACGTGGCAGAGCGACTTTGTGGGGACATGAGCTTCATTAAGGTGAAGTTTTTGCCTCCTAATACCACTCCTCTCCTGCAGCCCATGGACCAGCAGGTCATTGCAAACTTCAAAAAACTACACAAAAGCTCTGTTTGAAAGGTGCTTTGTAGTGACCACAGAAACTCAATTGACTCTTAAGAGAGTTTTGGAAAGATCACTTTAGCATCCTCAATTGTGTAAACATTATAGGTAAGGCTTGGGAGGAAGTGACTAAGAGGACCTTGAACTCGGCTTGGAAGAAACTGTGGCCAGAATGTGTATACAAAAGGGATTTTGAAGGATTTGAGGCTAACCCTGAGAAGCCTATGCCAGTTGTGGAATCAATTGTGGCATTGGGGAAGTCCTTGGGGTTGGAGGTTAGTGGGGAGGATGTGGAAGAGTTGGTGGAGGAGGACAATGATGAACTAACCACTGATGAGCTGCAAGATCATCTTCAACAGCAAGAGGCCAGACCTGAGGAAACTGCTCCGGAGGAGGGGATAGAGAAATTGAAGAAGTTGCCTACTTCAAAGATTAAGGAAATGTGTGCAATGTGGCTTAAAGTGCAAACCTTTTTTGATGAAAATCACCCTCACACAGCTATTGCAAGCTGTGCTGGTGAGTATTACAGTGACAATGTTGTGAAACACTTTAGGAATGTCATAAAGGAACGGGAGGTACAGGCCTCTATGGACAGATATGTTGTGCGACAGAGGTCCAGTGACTCTCAAGCTGGTCCTAGTGGCATTAAAAGAAGAAGGGAAGTAACCCTGGAAAAGAACTTGACATTTCAAGTCCTAATGGAAGGGGATTCCCCTTCTAAACATTAACACCATCCACACACTCCCCTCCTCCCATCCCATCAATCATCACCAGATCTTCAATAAAGGTAAGTGTCATGTAATTGTACATGTCTTCTTCAGTTTGTGTGTATTAAAATTAATATTTCATGTGGTAAATTTTGTTTTTCATACTTTGGGGTGTCAGGAACGGATTAATTTGATTTCCATTATTTCTTATGGGGAAAATTAATTCGGCTAACGATAATTTTGCCTAACGTTGAGCTCTCAGGAACGGATTAATATCGTTAGGCGAGGGTCCACTGTATTGGTAATAAAGTAGTCATTTATTTTTGATCTGACCTTGATGACATTAGAAGTAAGTTGTTTACATAATAAAAATATTAGGTATGTAGTAGGTTAAGCAGCCATGGGTGGACATAATTATACAGTGAACCCTTGATTTAACAGACTAATATGAGGAGGAGTGTCCATTAAAGCTGATTGTTTGTTAAACATGAATTATGAGAATATTTTTCCATTGTTGTAACAGTGGTGACTCTGATTTAACTGACTTTGTTAAATTTGAAATTATTAGGAGGAAGTATTATCCAGAAGGCTGAGGAGGGGTTGTTGAGGTGGTTCGGACATTTAGAGAGGATGGACTGAAATAGAATGACTTGTAGAATGTATGAATCTGTAATGGAAGGAAGGCAGCGATTGGTCTATGAAAGGTTGGAGGGAGAGGTTAAAGGAGGTTTTGTGTGCCAGGGACTTGGACTTCCAGCAAGTGTGTGTGAGCATGTTAGGTAGGAGTGAGTGGAGACAAATGTTTTTTATGACTTGATGTTCTGTTGGAGTGTGAGCAAACTAACATTTATGAAGGGATTCAGGGAGACTGGCAAGCCACACTTGAGTACTGGAGGTGGAAAGTACAATGCCTGTGCTCTGAAGGAGGGGTGTTGATTTGTTGCAGTTTTTAACTGTAGTGTAGGCACACCTCTGACAAGACAATGATGGAGTGAATGATGATGAAAATATTCCTTCTCTTTAGGATCACCCTGCCTTGGTGGGAAATGGTTGATATGTTAATAAAAAAAATACAATCAGAACTAAGCACTAAACCCACAAGGGTTAAATTTGAAATGAATTTACCCAGCAGACTAAAGAATAGCTGACAATTCTCTGATGAATGTTCTTATCTGTTATTTTCAAATGTCTGACCACAGATTTTGTTTCTTTTCAATTGGAACTCCATTAAATTAAGATTTTACTGTAGTATTTTATCTGAACTCAAGACTTCTGTAGTCAAGTAATTGATTTTATCCAGTCTTGGTGACTTCTGCACTCTTGGATAATGTATTTTTTTTTTGGCCTCAGGAAGATGATTGGCCAGCTACAGGGTCAGAAAACTGATTTTTATCCAACCTTGGATCTTTCTACCTGAGGTTAGATAATTGGCCAAGTCTGATAGTTGATAGGTAGATACCTGTAATAGGTAAGTGACTGTATCTAGTCAAGCATTTTTTTCTATTTTCTTCCGATTTAGTAATTTTTGAGGCGCATCTGATTTACTGTTTGCGAATTTAAAAATAAGGCATAGTGAATAGGCAGAGGCAGAGCCACAGGGAAGGGGGGTTAAGGGGGTTAAAGCCACCCTACATGCAAATCCTTTTTATTTTTTAAATTAATAGCTAATTTTCACTGTATATTGACCAGTGACCATGAAAACATTATAGTTTAAGAAATTTCATATACAGTGGAACCTCAGTTTTCATTTGACCTAGTTTTCATCGAATTCTGTTTTCGATGGCTTTTTTTGTCAAAATTTTGTCCCAGTTTTTGTTGAGTTGACAGTGGTCTGCTGTACTGAACATGTCCACCCACGCCCACACAAAGCATCCCATGCATTCTGAGTCAATCTGGCTTTGTTTCTTGTCAGTAGAGGGTGGTAGTGATGGTGGTAGAGGGTGGTAGTGATGGTGGTAATGGTTGTGATGGTGGTAAAGGATAGTAGTGATGGTGGTAGAGGGTGGTAGTGATGGTGATAGTGGTTGTGATGGTGGTAGAGGATAGTAGTGATGGTGGTAGAGGGTGGTAGTGATGGTGGTAGACATAGCCTCTCCTCTCTCTCCCCTCCTAGCTGTCTTCCATATGCCAACAAGAGTCTTCAGTAAAGGTAAAAGTGATGTTAAATGTTCATTTATCCATTTCATTAGTTCTTTATATTTATTTCTCATTGTTTTCTGCAAAACTATAGTTATTCTCTATAAAATGTATTTTTTGTTAATACTTTTGGGTGTCTGGAACTTCCGGATTAATTGGATTTACATTATTTCTCATGGGAAATATTGTTTCAGTTTTCATCAGACTTTCTGAAAGAATTAATGATGAAAACTGAGGTTTCACTGTATATGCCGAAAAATCATGTTTTTAACAAGGATTTCTCTACATTTTCTCAGTATCTTAGGATTTTTAAACCCCTTCCCAGATTGAAATTCTGGTTGTGCTGCAGGCATTAGACCTCTGCATCCAATCATAGTTTAATTGCAAGTATTTAAAAAGTAGGCACATAAAAACTTGCATGTCTAATGAGGCATTTTGATTCTTATATTAAGTTTTAAACTGTCGCCTTTTTTGTTTTCAGGACCGCCATGCAGACCTGATCATTAACACTTATGTTGATAGTGTCATGAAGCACCTTTTAGAGATTTTGGATATAAAAATAATGCCATACAACCCAGACAATGACCCAATGAAGCAGACACAGATAATGTTGGAGGAGTACAGGAAGACTCACCAAGGGGATGATCAGAATGACAGGTTATTGAGCCCTGATGATGGTTTTGAGCCCATGGATTGGACCATACCAGAAAAATGGGTCAAGGATAAGGACT